TAAAAATAAAAATATATTAAAAAATATTTTAAATAAACTACAAATACCTTCTAAAAAAATTTTAGAAAATATTCAGAATAAGGAAAATAATAATACAGAAAGTACAAAAATTGATGAAGTAAATTTGAATACTGAAACTAGTATAGTATCTAGTAAAACTAATAAAAATAAAAGTTTTATAACAGTTATATACAAAAGATCCAGAATTAGAAATAATAATAACTTTGCATATTGTAGCAACTCTAAAGAAGTTAGAAAAAAAAGAACAGTATTCTATATCTACAAAAGAAAACTATTAAATAGAACAATTGCTAAATAATAATATAACATAAATAATAATAAAATAATGACAAAAAATAATAATATAATAATTGCTACTCTCAACATAAAAGATTTAAACAATCAGATTAAATATCAGAAAATATTAAATTTACTTAAAACTTATAAATTAGATTTAATTTTAATACAAGAGACTAATTTAAATAATATAAATATATAAAAGTTTCTTAAATAGTATAATAATATAATTCTATTTGAATAACAAAAGTTGTTATCTTTGCTAAGAATAAGGAGATAAAATTGTATTATATATAGAAAAGCTTTAATATAAGAATTTTAAAAGTATAATTTATATACAAACAATACAAATTTTATATTACAAACATATAAATACTACTCTTATTAGAAGAAAAATCAGGATTTTTTAATATATATAGCTTTATAAAGAAGGAAGAAATGATCAATATTGTTACAGAAGATCTTAATTCTAACCTGAGTTCTGAAACTAACAAAATAAGCTAAGCTCTCTTATATAATAATTCTACTAGAGAAAAACTTAATATACTAATAGAAAAAATAATTAATATAGTAATAGTAACTAAACAGATACTATTTTTTACTTTCTACTAGAAAACAAAGAGTTAATATATGATAGCTACAAGACTTGATTATATATTTATAGAGGAACAGTATATATAATATTATAAAAAAAACAACTACAAGATTTAGAAACTTAAACTATTTGTTAGTAGAAAGTAAAATATGTTTTAGAAAAAATAAAAATCAAATAGCTTACTAGTAATTAGATATTAGAAGTTTAAAAAACAAACAAATATATGATAAAATAATAAAAAAATTAGGTACTATATGAGGTTAAAAGAATTAGAATTTATACAAAAGCAAAATATAGTTAATTACAAAGATAATTAAACTTTCTAAATTCTCTAAAAGCAATATTCATAGTCTTACTTTACAGAAACTTTAATTTTTGCTAAATATATTTAATATATTGTTATAAAATGAGTTTCAATTATTTTATCTTATTATTTTATATTATTATTTTATTATTAGTATTTTTATAAATAGTTAGTTTCTTGAATGTATTTTATTTATTATATCGCTTTTACAAATAACTTAGTAGTCACAGATAGATTTAGACTAGATTTGAAAGGATCTATTTTATGTGATATCTGGAGGCACAGACAACTTTTAGCAATACCAATCTAAGTAATAACTAGATTTGAGAGGACCTATCTCATGTAATATTTGGAGGCACAGATGACTAACTCAGTAAAAAACTATAGTAAGAACTAGGTTTATACAAATATCAAACAAGAATATATGCAAGCTAGATTAGATTATAGTATAGCATATTTGGGTATTACAATACTAGTGATTAGGAAGTTAATGAAGGAGTATCTGAGATAGGCCTAGATTTCAAATATTAAAGTTTGTAGACATATATCAGCTCAGTTAATATCTTCTAAAAAGTGAAGTAGTATAGAGTTAGATGAATATTAGATAACAAATAATAGCAGGATAGAAATAGTATATAGCCAGAAAGTTTAAATAAGCAATTTCAAATAAATTTTAGATATAGTAGCTAGTATAGAACCTTCAGGTAGACAACATAAATTAGATAATCTAAAGTTGTATATGTGACTAGTTATACTCTCACATATATAATTATTGTTCAAAACAATTATACTAATAAAAATCTCACTAATAGCATGTTGTATAAAATAAAAAAAAAAAAAAATATTGTAAAACAATAGAAATATATTAACAAAGCTTTGTTAAAGATAGATCTATTGCAGATACAATAATAGATATTATAGCTACTATAAAAAACTAAACAAATTAAATATATTATTAATGCTAGCTAGTTTTTTTGAACCAAGAAAAAGCATTTAATAGGATTAATTATAAATACTTTCAACAAGTTCTTAAGAAAATAAAATTTAACTCTGTATTTATTCAAATAGTTAGAACATTATTTTTAGAACAAAAAGCTTGTATTATAGATGTAGAAATAATATCAGAGTCCTTTAAAATTCAATTTAGAGTATACTAGGAAAATTCAATATTACTACTTCTATATATTTTGGTATTTGAACCTTTTCAAAGATTATTAAACTACAAACTTCAAGGAATTTTTATATATTAACAAAATTTTAGAATAGTAGTATATGCTGATAACCTAACTATAGGAATTATATCACAAACAAACTAGAAAGTTTTCTCAGAAATACTACATAATTATAAATTAGTATCAAATATCAGAATAAACAAATACAAATCTATAGTAGTACTGTCAATACAAAATATTAGAAAAGCAGAATCTGAGGAGTTAAAAGGGTTTTGCATTATAAAAAAAAATAAATTAATAAAGGTTATAGGCAATATATTAAATTTGAATAGAAATATAAACAAAAAAATATAGCTTAACAAAATTAAAAAAATTAAAAAATTAATAAAACAAATATCAAATCAAAATCTGTCTTTTAAAAGCAGAATTATAGTTTTTAAAATATTGTTATTTTCATATATCTAATATATAGCATATTTATTACTTCTAAGTAAAAATAATTAAAAAAATTAATAACCTGCTAACTAACTGATTAAAAATAATACAAGAATACTACTAAGATATTTGATATTTTAGTAAAATCAAAAACAGAAAGAGTTGTTAGCTCTAATTTTGAATAATATGCTTAATACATAGTTGCTTTCTATTTAAATCAAGTTACTTACAAATAAAACTTGCTGAGCAAAAACTAAAAGAAAAAAAATAAAGTCAAGATTATAGAGCTTAAGAGGAATTACTTCAAGATCTGCTCTCATTTTATCCTTAATCAGAAGCAAATCTTGGTCAGAAAGATAGAATCAGAACATAAACATATAGAAAAGGATAAAAAGTAAAGTAAGTTCAAAAACAGAGCATTGGCCTTAGGACCTATAGAAAATTAAGTTCACAGAAATGCTAAATACAGAATATGAGGTTTGCAAAGCTATAGAATTTTTATAACAAAAATTATTTAAGCTTATAATTTTGTAAAAGAATATGAATAAAAGAGCTGAAATATAACAATAGAACTAGATATCTAATAAATAAGTAGACAACAAATGAAAAGATATATTCTGGTGACTTTAACATAGAGCTCTACCTTTAGACTACTGTTTCATATATATAATTCAAAATGATAATAGGAAATGCTCAGAGTATTTAGAAAAACTTTAAACTTCAGAGTATTTTAGTATAGATTATAAGACTGCTAGAATTATATAGAGAACCACATATAACTACATCAAGAGAATAGAACTAGTAATGCTTTCAAGCATGATGGATAATATTTTTACAGTAACAAATATTAGAAATAAAACAAAAAAAAAAATTGTGATCTGAATTCACATTATTGCTATATATAAAATTTGGTATTGTTATATACAAGCTAGATAGAGGAGTAAAAATATCCTGAACCCAATTATTCCATATATAGTTAAAAATAAAATAAAGAGAAAAATCAAAACTCTTAAGAGCAGAAACAAACAAAATGAGAAAAATATTACTTAAAGGTTTAACATTAGATTTTTAAGTCACTAAGTTTCTTTATACATATATTATAAGTAATAAATAAATAAAATTACACCTTCTGGCATCCCTTCTAGAGAGTTTTAAAAAAAAATATTTAATTAATTTTTTAGCTTGATATATCTTTGTATTATCAAGTATTAATATGCTTCTTGTATATAAAAGTATATTAATTTGAGGTAGCTTAAAATAGGTTAAATTTAATATATATATATTTATATAAATACAACATAATAATTGTATTTTATACTACTTAAGAAATTACAAATCTTTTAAAAATTTCTTTAGTGCAACTACTTTATAGAATTTTAATTGCAATAATACTATTTAATGAAAATGCTAGTAAAAGTATATAAAATATTCCAAGATTATAAAATTCTGCTATAAACACATATTGTTTATTTAATTTTATTATGTGCGATAAAAATTTGAAAATTACAATATAATTAATTTTTTGCAACGAATAATCAGATATCCATTAAAGAATAACAGATAAAAGTATCTGATCTGACACAGATAACAGATATTTTATCGGAGCTTAAATCCGTATCAAATCAGATTCAGATGTCCGGATCATATCACTAATAGGCAGAGCAAATATTGAAGCAACAATACAAAAGATTAAATGACATATTTAATTAAATTAAATAAATATTTAGCACATTTTTTAATATGTAATATTTGTAATAAAATACGATATTTAAAATATTTTTTTTATGCTGTCCCGGTTGATACTGAAATTAACCAATCAGAAGCGATAATTTCATTTTTAAACTCAGTCACCGATGTTTTTAAAAAGTTTTTTTAAAATGATTTAAAAACTGTTTAAACCGTTTTTTTACCATCCCTAATTCCAGATAGTTTCGCTTAATTTTAATCTACAAAACTAGTCTGAATTTATCTTTCATAGTTTAAGCCAACACTGATTATGTGATTCATTTATTTTTTATTAAAGTTTAAAAATTATCCTGCAAACACCTTTTTTTATGTGTATAAAATTTATAAAAGTTAATGCTAATTTACGATATAATACTATTTAAGAAAGTAAAATAAGTCATCATTATAGATACTTTACCTAGAATTATGTTAATTTATCCTTCTAACTTTTTATTTATACGTCTTGATTATTTATTTTCAGGATCTAATTTCACACTTTCCACATCTTTATTTTCAAGATCTATAAATCTCTCACTTTCCACGTTTTGATTATTTTCAAGATTCACAAATTTCTTGCTTTCCACGGATTGATTATTTTCAATGTCCTCTACTTTCTCGCTTTTTACATCTTTATTGCTTTGAAAATCTACTAATTTCTCACTTTCCGCGTTTTGATTATCCGCCAGTTTCTTATCTTTCATGTCCTCAAAACTTTCAAGACCTGCCAATTTTTTACTTTCCGCATCGTGATTATTTTCGATATCCTCTAATTTATTACTTTCCACATCTTTATTATTTTCAATATTTACTAATTTATTACTTTGAATGTCTTTATTATCTTCAATAACATTTTCTAATTTATTATTTTCCACGTTTTGTTTATCTTCGGAATTTGTTAATTTCCCGTTTTCAACGTTTTGATTATTTTCAATTTCCACTAATTTATTACTTTCATCAACTAATTCCACATCTTTATTATCTTCAATATTTACAACTTTAGTAGAAACCATTAATTTTTCATTTTTATTATTTAGATAAATTTCTGGTTCAAGAATTTCTAATGGATCATTACTAATTTCTTGATTATTTTTTTCAGAAACGATTAATTTTTCCGATTTAATACTTTTATCATTTTCTTCAATATCTACAAATTTTCTTCGAATATTTCTTTTATATTTCCATATTATTAATCCTATAATTAATAATAGAAAAAATATACCAAAACTAATTCCTATAATCATAATATTTTTATATTGATTTGATTTTGATGAAATAGGATTTGGAATCGGATTAATCGGATTTATTGGTCCTTTCGGATTTAGTGGAGTATACGTGTTCATGACGTAATACGCCATTATTCCTTGAAATGCTGAATTATAATCAAGCGCAACCTTTTAAAATGTAATAAATTTGTGGATATGTTATTATATGCTATAAAACTATGAAATTACGAGCATATATATATATATATATATATAATAAATTTATAATATTTGAAACATAATATAATAGATATCTAATATATATAAAACATAATATAATAGATATATAATATATGAAAATTAATATAATAAATACCTCAGATTGAATAAAATCACTTCTTGAGTCAGAATATGAGTCATTCATACCTGGACCACCAACAACTGCACCATATAACGGATACATCGTTACTGGTGGATCAGTTAAATTTTCAACATTTCTTCCTCCAGATGCACCAGCATGATGAGGATTTTTAGGAGAATTTGGATGAACAGCCACAACATAAAACATTTTCATAGGATTAGCACCAAATAAATAATCAAGTTGTAAAGAAGCAAAATGTCTATAAGTCTCAGATTTTTCTTCTGTAGATGCGTAAGAAGAATACATAAATAATCCAAAAGCTCCATTAAGAGATATAGGTATTGATGCCGCTTTACTATCTGCAGCACACCATAAAAGTCCACTTTTTGTTAAATTACAGGCATTTGTAGTCGTAATTATTCCGTCCAAATAACGTTCAGTTTCATTTCTCCAATAGGAGAGATTTGCGTTTGATTCATTATATAATATTTGTGTAAGTAAAATGTTACATGCAGCCTAAATATTAAATGATAAAAAAAAAAAAAAAAAGATTAGAATAGAATAAATGGTTAGAAAAAAAACATACAATATTTAAAAAAAAATAAAAGATTTAACTGATTGATCATCCCATGACATCATTCTTGTAGAATTATTTAATTGAAATTGATTGTAATAAGTAATCGCTTTATTTAAGTATTGAGGTTGTTTAGTAACACGATACAACCAAATAGCGCCATAAACTAATTTGTCATAATATAATGAGGTACGATATCCGTTTTCGTTTCTAGGAATATACTGAGAAGACAATGTTAAGTTTTGAGTTTAGGCAAAAGAATAAACACTTGTAGCATGAGATATTAATGTATTGGCGTAAACAGTGTCATTAAAATAATCTCGAAATAGAATTGCTGAAGATGCAAAAGCAGCAGCCACTTCTGCCGCGATATCTGTACCATGTGCTGTTGAATTAATCTCATAAGCTGGACGTGGATACGGAATACTATTAAACAGAAAATATATATATATATAAATATAAATTAAACGATAAATATACTCAAGAAAGATATATATACTTAGTATCAGGCCCCCAATATGCACTGTCGAATGTCAATGTACCAACTTGGGTGAAGAGCTGGTCAGGTTTAGGATGCGCAGCAATCAACCAATCGGTTCCCCATTTGATCATTTCACGAAGATAACCGGTTTGGTTTGAAAGTTGATATCCTTCAAACCATTCAATAGCACCCCTATAAAATAAAAAAAACAAAAAAAATAAGCATGTGAATTAAAAAAATTTAAATATAAAATTGAAACTTTTTTTAATCAATTACCATGAAATGACCGAAAGTGCCCATGATAATGTTAGCGTAAATTTCATATAATCGCCTATAAAACAATTTTTGTAAATGTTGAAGAGTGCATAAAAATAATAAGATAGGGTGAAACCTGAGTCATGAGTAGTAAAATCCGTTAAGGTGAAATCCGCAGTTAGCAATGATGCAAAGGGATTTCACCTCATGTGATCTACATAGCGAGCTCGCAACTCAGGTTTCACCCTGTCGTATCGTACATAAATACGTAATCATGATCATCAAAATACTAGTACGTACCTGCATCATAGTAGCCCTTAAATTATTTTTTAATAACGATAATAAAGTTAACGTTAATTAACGTTATTAATTAAATTTTAAATCCGAAAACTCACCCCGGATAAATTCAGACCTTTATCCTTCCCATCATCGAGAGCAGAATTATGTCTCCTAAATATGAAAGAAGGATAATGATTATGAAAATTTGTATACTAGAAAATTTATACAAATGTTAAGAACTTACCATGATACACGGTTATTTTTAGGCAAAACTCCACTTCTTTGAGCTTCATAGAAATATAAAGAATAAGCTAATAACTTTGAATAATCGTTTCCTTCTTTTGGAATACCGGGTATATCTGGTGAAGGAATTAAACCAAGAGAGGATTGAGGCAGAACCACGGGAATTAATGACATGATACATATTATCACTAATGTCAAGAACAATAACGAACATTGATTTTTTGATAAAAATCGTAATTGGAGCATATTTTATAAAACTCCAAGTGGAGAAATATCGTCAAACATATTTTTAACATTTAAATAGTTTTAATTAAAACCCATTAGGAATGATTATTACTATATTTTCTTCGATAAAAATTTCAGATTAAGAAAGTATCATTTATATCGTATGTAATATAAATAGTAAGGCTTTATGTTGTACGTAACGATCTTTTTAGTAGTGCATAAACTTTAATACCATCAATGAATCTTGTACATAACAACATTTCGCATATAAATTTGTTTTTACGATGTACTGTACATACGTACGTACGTACAGTACAGTACCTAAAATTTCAAACTATTTGACAACCTGAATTATGGTTTCCTTAAAGTTATTAAAATTAATTAAAGGCGTGAAGACCATCACTTTTGTAATACATGCATCATCGCAGATTATTAATTGTCGAGGCTGAAGCTGATGCTGGAAATTAACTGATAAACCCTGCTAAAACTCTTTTGTTATAAACCCTAACCCTAAATTCTAATCTAACTATAAAAAAAAATTGTAGAAAATACACCCCAAAATTTTTTGTAAATTTCATACAGTATTAAAGTATTTAAAATTTACAGTATCAGCCGTTTCCAGTTTCAGCCGTAACATTAATTGTCGATTTCTCGAAACTCCAAAGTCTTGAATAACTATTCGACCTCTGTTACACATAATTATATTGGCTGTCTTATGATTATTATTTGTTTTTCCATAATCAAATGATTACTACGTATATAGGATAATATTTATATTTTTGGATCGCTGATAATGATATGCGCTATTTACAAAGTAATTCTATTTATTGTTATTTATTTTTGTACTGATATTTATATAACGATAAGTAAAGTAGTACTAAATTAAAAATAGCGTGACGTTAGACAACCTCCATTTTAATAATCAAGATACTGTATATAGTACCGAACAAACATCTAATTTTTATATAAACACGTATTAGGCAATAAATATCTTCAATAAATATCTTCAACAATAATCCCCTTTTACCGTTACAGAATTGTTGCTTAATTGCCTGAATTACGATTCTGTAGAACTTGAAAATTTGGGGCATTTAAAAAAAAATCTTTTAGCCAATCAAAATTTTTATATAAACTTTAGCTAATCAAAATTGATTATATTGTTAGATATCTGTCAGTTTAATGTTACCGGTTTAACAAAATTATTATAAAGAATCCGGAGATCCGGATATCCGGTAAATTTAAATAGGAAAAAGGATAACGGATATATCTCTACTACGTATAAGCCAATAAAACAAATAATAATAAATAAATAAATAAATAAATCTTTTAATAGAATTAGGTTAGGCAATTGTCAAATATCTTCGCTCGAATTCTTTTTAGAACAATCCAAAATGTTATCAAAATAGCAACTGCAGAATTAGAATTTTAGAGAGAATATCCTAATAATCACCTAAACAATTTTTTTTATTTTGCTTCTAATATCAGTAAAAGATTTTTTTGTCAAATTTTATTTAAGCGGTTGTCGAAAACTTTGCATTAAAATAAAAAACCTAACTATATAAGTTAGTCATTAAAATAATTTTATTAAAAACTCTATAAAAAAATAAATTCTATGGAAAGTGCCAATCTAATGAATCGATTTACAGGTATTCTATTCCTAACACTCATATTATTGTGCTTTTCAAATTACTGTGATTCCCTGTTTCTTTTTTTCTTTGTTTTGTTAGCGGGAATTATGATATTATTTTTACAAAACTAACCATCAGTACCAATGTACTAGTAGAGATAATACTGTAGAATTGAAATATAACTGGAAATCTTTGGAATTTTTATTTTTTAACAAGTTATATAGATTTATTAATAAAACAGTATTCCTTAAACTGTTTAAAATTTAGTGCAAATTTGCATTGAATTTTGTTATAAAAATGCTTCTAATCTATGTTTTTAAAAATTTAATATATTTAATTAAATTTTTTTTTTTAATAAAAATTAAATTGATTATGAACTATACTCTTTTAATGCAGATTATTAAAAATGTATGTTTTTGCAACTATAAAATACCAAAAATTGATAAGATAGATTTTAATAACTAAATAATAATATTTCAATCTATCTTATTAGTTATATAGGCTATAACAGAATTACAAGTAGACTTGTTTATTTTTCAACTTACTTAACACTATATACAAACAGACTGTTTTTTTCAAAAATATCTTAGCAATAGATATATAATTAATTTTAATTTTATGTTTTGTCTATTCTCACTTAAATATATACTCAAATATGCTAATAATATATCTGTTATTATAAAATTAACTAGTACAACTAGAACAGAATATTTTCTGAAGCTTGTTCTGGTATATTTGAATAAAATATTTGGAAAAACTGATACAAGGATATAGAAGCATAGAAGAAAAAGAAAGGATTTCTAAAAAAAAAATATGTATAAAAAGAGAAAAGGTAAAATAATTCAAAAGAAAAGACTACAAGAAAAAAAAACAAACTACAGAATAGATGAGAATATAGAAAATTGTAGTATTAGTCTTAAAATAGTGTTAGATAGCATAGAGAGAAAAATAAAAAAGAAAATTGTATATAGTTAGATTTAAAGTTAGTTATGATAGACTGTAGCATCTTTTCTATACTGATTTGTAGTCTATAAATTATAAACTACTTGACTATAGATTAAAGGTTACTATAGCAGATTGTATATAGGTATTTTTATAATAATCAGATAAGTTAGAACTTAAAAAATTAGATATTAAATAATATATAGCTAAATAATATTGTTTTTAAATAAAAAACAAATCTAAATAAAGTTATAGTATAACTGCTAAATTAAAAAAAAAAACTAGAACAGAATATTAAAATAGAATAAAATTGAGATCTAATAATAGTTAGATTACCAAACTGCTATATAAGAGGTTTGGAGTTCAAATTATACTATTAACAAATTTGAATAATTACTCGGATCTTTGTATTTAATTTTTAGTAATCTTTTTTTTCTAGAGGTTGTAACCTTATAAATTATATTATACTAATATCAATTAAATATTAGAAGTATGATATAATGTTGTATAAATAAATCTTAAAAATAAAGTATTTTATATGATCTATGATATAGTAAAATTATAGTATAGCTATATATTACAGATTATTAGTATAACTAAACTAAAAATAGAATTTATTTATCAACTTATTAAATAGGTTTTTTATATTTATTATATTTAAATACTTCTAGCTATGAATTTTTAATTATTTTTTATTTTTTTTTTTTTTTATAGAATGAGGCCTTGCCTTGGATTTTATTGAGTTTTATAATATAATTACAAATATTGTGTTATATTAATGAACTACTGTTACCTAAGCTAGGGCTAGTTTACCTCTCGGCCTGTACTCTACTA